ACACCACTGTCACAGGAGGTCAGAGTGCACATTAGGGCCCACTCCTGGTGGTGGGTAGATGGATTTGCACTGGTGTGCACCCAGCATGGCTGTCACGGTAGATTTACTGCACTGGGGATTCTCACCAGCTACCTGTTGGCTCCTCCCACTCCCTAACACTGATTTTTTTTTTAAAAGACAGGGTAGAAACCCTGTCGGCTGTTCTGGATCTTGCTCTGTAGACCAGGCTGGCCTCTGCCTCCCAAGTGTGAGTGTTGGGATTAAAGTCCTGTGCCTCCATTTCATTTTTTGATAGCCCAGTCTGCTGCTACTTCCTCATTTCTAAACTTTGATTTTGACCCATAGTAAGTGCATTTTACATTTGATATGTACATATCTGAAATAGTATTTTCTGTTATGCCCAGATGGTGGGGACTTCCAAAAGACCACCACGGAGACAGAATCCCATATGTAAAAGCAAAGAGCCTTTATTTTCAAGCTCTGACCTTGGTCTCTCTGTCCCACAAAGTGGTGAGGGCGGAGAACCCTGAGCCCAGGCAGGGTAGAGCTTTTATCATAGTGGTTGGGGTGAGGGGTTTTCCAGGGTTCAGGACCCTGATTGGCTGATGTTTGTCTAGGGGTATCTGCAAAACAAAAATAGGTGTGTGCTAGACTCACGGACATCTGGCCACCTCATCTAATGGTTGGAATGTTTGGGATGTCAGGTACTTCCCCTTAGACGCAGGCCCTCCCTGGGTGGGGTCAGCTTATGGCTTTTCCTGAGTCTGGGTGTTGCCTGACAGTAAGCCTGTCACAGAAGCTGCTGCCATGTGGATGCTGGGAATTGAGTCTGGGTCCTCTGCAAGAGCAACAACCTCTCTCTCTCTGTCTCTGTCTCTTTCTCTCTCTCTCTGTCTGTCTGTCTCTCAACAGGATCTCACAATGTAGCTCTGACTGTTATGGAACTCACAGAGATCCACCCACCTCTGCCTCCAAATGCTGGGATTCAAGGCCTATGCCACACACCCAGCTGCAACAAGTGAGCTTAACTGAGCCATCTTCCCAATCTAGGGGTTTTTCTTTATGATGCTCATTCTAAAATACTTTATTTGGGGCTGGAGAGATGCCTCAACAGTTAAGAATGAATACTGAGCCTGTGGTGGTGGTACACTCAGGAGGCAGAGGCAGGTGGATCTCTGTGCGTCTGAGGCCAGCTTAGTCCACAGTGAGAGACCCTGACTTAAAAAACAAACAAATAAACAAACAAAACAAAATAAAACAAGAATTAGTACTGCTCTAACAGAGAACCCAGTCTGACTTCCAGCCATGCTGGGCAGCTCACAACTGCCTATAATTCCAACTCCAAAGGGATTGAACTCTAGCCTGTGAGGGTACTCACCTTCTCTCTCACACACATAATTAAAAAAACCAAGCTGGAGCCTGCAAATATCTCAGGTAGGAAGCACACTTGTTGCTGGGTCTATGATGGAATACACACACACACACACACACACACACAGATACACACAGAATAAATGTAAAAAAGTAAAAAATTCTACCTGTTAAAATCTTTCCTATATTTGACCCACATGGTCCCGTGACATCACCATTCTCTGTTTTAGGCACACACGGGGATAAAGGAAAAAAATCTGAATAAAAAAATGATACACATATATCCTAAAGCGGTTTTCAATATATAAGTGACCCTTAGGTCCCCAGTGAGAGAAATCTGATTCTTGAAAGAAGGAAGGGACATTTGGGTTCTGTTCTAGGGCAGAAAGATTTGATCTCTCAGCCACCTGACCGCCCCCACTAGCCTGGCTACTACATGAGAATGAGTTCCTCCAAAATCTGGAGCCTTGGCCTGGTGGCCTAGAAGGGGATCCCTCCTGTTCTCCCTCAGCCCACCCCTTGCTGGGTGAAGCTGGGTCAGACTGCAGGGGGTTGGCAGCAGTGGAGTCTGGCAAAGAGACACTGCTGTGGAAAATTGGGGTTACACATGGGCTGAGGGAACTGGTCCAGAGCTCAGCTGATGCAGAAATGCAGCTGAGATAACGTGGGTCAGAGCAGAGAGAAGGCACAGGCCAGCTCTGAGATTCATGTGGACATGAAGGGGACTGTTTTAAGGGTGAGAAAATGGAGAGGAGACTCCTAGAGAAGTGGGGAGTTGCCAAGGAGGGCACAGAAAGGGTTCAGGCATTCCTGAGAAGAACAGCATCTTTGCCTCTCTCAGTTACTAGAGATTATCAAGCACCGGCACATTCCTTATATTTGGAGGTTTGGGAAAACCAAGAAACTGCAGAGAGGAAGGTCTAGAGAGGGAGAGTTCACTTGGTTAAGTTCAAGTGTGTCAGGGAACAGCTTAGGTTATGAAAACCAGGCCTTTGGCTCCCCGGAGGGAGCTGATCCCAGGATGGCAGCTGGGAGGGGTCAGGATATAATGGAGGAGAACCTTCCCTGGTTCCTGCCTTTCTCACATCTCCTCCATACAGTCCCTTAAACTGTCACTTCAAATGCACACAGTGACTTTTCCTCGGTTTCATAGTCCCCACCCGGAAGCTGGTCCAACCCTGCTGCCCTCTCTTCCCCCTGGACAGTCTAAGCAGACTTTGGTAGGGACCTGTCGCTTCATCCCCCTCGTTTTCCAGGTTTTAGATGGTAGGATGTGTGTATACAGGTGAGAGGGGGTGAAGCTTGGTGGCTGATGGTACCATCCATACTATGTTTTCAATTTTATGTGTATGTGTTTGTCCACACCTGTGCAGGCAGGTACCCAGGGAGCTAAGAAGAGGGCATTGGGTCCCTAGAGCTGAAGTTACAGGTGGTTGTGGGTGCTGGGAACTGAACTCTGGTCCCCTGTGAGAACAGTAAGTGCTATTATTCATTGAGCCATCTATTTAGCCCCCAACACTATGTCTTTGAAAGGTCCTAATGGGCAACATTAATTTATTAAACACATATTTAAGGGGTCTACTATGTGCCAGCCACTAGGATAGAATATTAAGAGCAGCACAGATTAAAACAAAACAAAACAAAACAAACAACAAAAGCGGCCCTGGGGAGTATAGCCAGGGCCTTAGGCATCTGAGGTAGGCACTCTACCACCAAGCTGAATCCTCAGCCTAGGTTCTTATCAACAGAGCTTGCAAAGAGGATGAAATGGATGTGAATACTGGAATGTGCAACCTCATATTCACACTGGACTGAACCCAGGGTTCCAGGCACATGCTCTTCCACTAGGCTAAACTTCCTACCCCAGTCTTTTTTTTTTTTTTTTTTGGTTTTTCGAGACAGGGTTTCTCTGTGTAGCTTTGCGCCTTTCCTGGAACTCACTTGGTAGCCCAGGCTGGCCTCGAACTCACAGAGATCCGCCTGGCTCTGCCTCCCGAGTGCTGGGATTAAAGGCGTGTGCCACCACCGCCCGGCCCCAACCCCAGTCTTAATGTACCTTTTATTATTTTCATTTAAACATTTATTACATTTGTATTTATCCTGCATGCCCTGGAGTGTGTGGCAGTTAGAGGCTAGTCCTCATCTTTTACCATGTGGAGAGTGAGTTCAGGTCAGCTGGCACCTTTACCAACTGGGCCATCTTACTTCCCACCCCCTACCCCTCCCTGTTTTCAGGCGGGGCTTCATGTAGTTCAGACTAGACTTGAATTTCCCCCACGCCCACCCCCCACCCCGAGACAGGGTTTCTCTGTGTAGTCCTTGCTGTCCTGGAACTAGCTCTGTTAGACCAGGCTGGCCTCGAGTTCAGAGCTCCACCTGCCTTTGCCCCCTGAGAACTCACTATGGTTGGTGTTGAGCTCACAGAGATCTGCCTGCCTCTGTCTTTGGGAAACTGGGATTTGAAGGTCCTCCACCAAACCCGGCTTGGCCTTTAACTCTTGATCTTCATGCCTTCATCTCCCAAGTGCTCAAATTGTTATTATTATTTTTTTGAGACAGGGTCTCACTATGTAGCCCTGGCTGTCCTAGAACTCTCAGCAATCCGCCTGCCTCTGCCTCCCAAGAGCTGGGATTAAAGGCGTGTGCTACCATATCTGGCTGACTTTTATTTTAATTTTGTTTTGAGACTGGGTCTTGTCATATAGTCTTGGCTGGAGTGGAACTCACCATGCAAACCAAGCTGGTCTCAAACTTGACTTGATTTGCCTGCCTTCGGAATGCTGGGGTTACAGTTGGGAAACGTGTCCAACTTTCAAATGAACACTTTTAGGAGATCTTCTTTCGTTGTATCACTAACAATTAAGATGAAACTTATGCCGGGTGGTGGTGGCGCACCCCTTTAATCCCAGCACAAGGAAGGCAGAGGCAGGCAGATCTGGGGGTTCAAGGCCAGCCTGGTCTACAGAGCGAGATCCAGGACAAGCACCAAAAACCCTGTCTTGAAAAACCAAAAAAAAAAAAAAAAAAAAAGGATGAGACTTACTTTCTGTACACTTTTATAGCTTTGTTGAGGTATAATTGACATACATAAATTTCAAGTATTGGCAACTTTTTTTACTGTTCATACAAAATTTTCTGTTCTTATAAAAAAACATAATGGTTTAATTATGGAAAATAAATATTTTAAACATTTTCCTATCATCACTCCTTAGAATGTTTCAAATTAGTATATGTTTGGATTGTATTGTTAGAAAGTTTGGTTGTTAAAACAATGCTTTTTGAGTTTCTAACTTGGGTTTCAATAAAACAGACACAAACAAACAGTACTTTATTAAAGGTGTGTGCCACCACACACAGCTGCTTTCAACTATAATAAATGGTAAAGTTATATGTATACCAAAGAATCAGAAATTTCTTTATGGCTGGACAGTGGTGGCACATGCCTTTAATTGCATCACTCAGGAGGCAGAGGCAGGTGGATCTCTGCAAGTTCGAGGCCAATCTGGTCTACAGAGTGAGTTCCAGGATGGCCATGGCAACACAGAAACCCTGTCTTAGAAAAAAGAAAAAAAAAAAAAGGAAATTTCTCTATGGTTTATTGTCAGTGAATGCTTGATTTATATACTTACTTTCCTATACCAATTTACCTGAGGCCTGGGGTCACCAAAAAAGTCTTGAACAAAAAGGGATATCAAGTCTAAGAGGAAACAAAAGAACAGGGGTCAGCGATGAGTTCCGGTGGCGATGAGCTCCCGGGCCGTGAGCGCCGGTGGCCCGGCAAAGTAGCTCAGGGGCACAGTCCTTGCCCAGCCTGTACAAGGTCCGGGGTTCACCCCCAGAACAGACAAAAAGCATCAGGGCCTGATTAAGACTCAGAGGCCAGAGGCAGCAGATGGGACTTAGGGCCAAATACTTGTCTCGATTCAGCTTGAGGGGCCATCATTTCAGGCAGCAAGGAACACTCCTCTCCCATCCCCAGTGTTAGGAGAGGGTGGTCATTTCCCTAGGAACAAAACCCAGGAAGCAGTTAAATGCGTGTGTCAGGCACCTAGGCATATTGTTAGCACCGTATGGCTTGCGGCTTGGGTCGGTGCTCATGGAAAGGATTACACCAAGGCTTAGGCTAAATGGGATTATTCCTAGTATTTATTAAAGCCTTTTATTTTCTGTACGCTCCCTGTTTGCATAACAACCTGCCTCTGGGGTAAACGGAGCTTTGGAAAGGTTTTAAGTCCTCAACAACTAACAATCTGTGATAAGCACTTTAATATTTACCTCCCCCTGCTTGTCAACAACTTACTGGACAAATGACATTATCCCTCAGGCCCCAAACAACTACAAAAACTAGTATAAGGAACACTGCCCTAAAGTAGCTACCTTCATAGATAATAGAATGAATTACTCGAGTTTGCCAGTGAGTGGCCAGCTTGGTTGAGACAGGGCCCACTGGGGGAGGGGCAAAGCTTTGGAGGAGTGGGTAGGCATTTCAAAGAGGGGCAGATTGCATTCGCATAGAACCCAATAACCGCCTGTAACTCCAGTTCTAGGGGATCTGATGACTTCTGGCCACCTGTGGGACTGTGTGCATGTGGTACACATACATCCATGCAGGCAAAATAATGATACACATAAAACCAAAATAAATAAATCTTTTTGAAAAACAGCTCTTGTAAACTTAATGAAATTGTAAATAAAATATGTAAGTTATAAAGTGTACAACTAGTTTATATGAAAAAAACAAAAAAAACAAAAAACAAAGAGGGGCAGAAGTGTCTCCTCCGTATGTGTACCTCTCCTGTGTTCGTTTGAATGACACCAAAACTGTGGGATCCCTAGATACTGTAAGCATATTTGGAGGTAGGGTGATAGAGGGCCATCTGCAGGGTTTGGGTTGTTTATTTTCCATATGTAGCCCAGGCTTTCCGCTAGGCAGATGGAGATCTCATCCTAGAACCCCTTTAAACAACCAGATTCCCGGTGCACACAGTCCCCGCCCAGCCCGGTCCTTACACTCCCGCAAGGGCTCAGAGTTCCTGCGCCGTCGAACGCCGAGAACCTCTTCTCTCCTAAGCGCTCCCAGGAGTTAACATCTCCCGCCGGCTCCTGGGCTCCGCCCCCTCTCCCCTCTCCCCGGTCCTGGCGGGCTTATCCTGGAGGGGGCGGCCTCAGCAGCAACGCTAGCCCGGGCGGAGCTCTGGCCCGGGCGGAGCTGAGGCTGCAGCGTCCAGCGGCGGGACCCAACTCCAGCTGTGCAGCCTGCGGGAGCCCCGCGAGCCCGGTCCGCCCTGGGGCCCACCCCCGCAGCTCTGCAGGTAAGTCTTGCTTTCCGCACCCAACTTTTGCTGCCGTCCAGCCTTGAGTCGTGCGGCGCTAAGCCGGAGCTACGCATGCATGTAGCTGCTGTGTGTTCGGGGGAGACGGATCGAGGACAGCCGTCTCCAACAGTTCACAAGTCCCCCAACTTCCCTAAAAAAGGGCCAAGCGCGTCGCTCCGGGAGTCGGCAGAACTCTGGGACTTCGCTGGCTAAACTTGCAGCTCCGGGGGGATAGGGTGTGGGGGTGGGGTGGGGGGTACTCGGGCTCCAACTTCGCCGCCCCTCCCCCTTCCTCGGAGCTCCGGCAGTTCCGGATACTTCCCCCCCCCCCTCCATCTCTCCAGGATCCTTGGCCCCCTAAAAGCCCATCCCTTCGGGCCCGCCTCCTCTCCGTTACCCGCAGGGCCCCGCGATCCCTGTGCCGCACACTCCCCGCGGGGGCCACCGCGTCGCCCGCCCGCCCGCCCGCCCGTCCGCCCGTCCGCCCGTCCGCCCGCCCGTCCGTCTGGTCCTCCGGCCGGGGGACACTTGCCGGGGCGGCGGGGCTGCGGAAGGAGGGGCGAGGCCGGCGGCCGTCCGAAGCCCGGCGGGCGGGGCCGGGAAGGGGAGGTGTAGGGGGCCGGACGGGGCGGAGCAGGCGGCCTTTGCGGCCGGCGCTGGGGCGGAGAGTTTGCGCCGGTCCCTGGGCCTGAGCTCCGGCTCGGGCTGGGGCGCCTGCGATGTCTCAAGATGGCGGAGCTGGGCGAGTTAAAGGTACCTGCCCCCTCCCCCAGCCCCGGCGGGACCCCGCTCGGCCGCGCGCCGGGGCGGGGAGGCGACCGGGCTGGGCGCCGCGGGGCCGGGGTGGGCGCGGGCGACGTGTCAGGGCCCGGCAGCAGGGATGCGCGGGCAGCGGCCGCGGGAAGAAGGGGCTGCGGCGGCGGCGGCGGCGGCGGCGGCGGCGGCGGCGGCACCCCGGGGGCGGGGCCGCGGGGCAGATGCAGGGGTGGGGCGGAGGTGGGGGGGGAGAGAGAGAGAGAATTGTCGCCGCGGGGAGGCCGAGGCACAGGGGGGCGGGGACGTGGGCCGTAGCCGCTTTTAGCAGTCTAGGTGGTTGCAGGGTAGTGTCAGGCGCGAGAGAGCTGCGCCAGGGGCGGCGTAGGGGCGAGTCCCATCGGGCCGAGGGATGCGGCCGTCAGTGGGGAGACGCAGGCATGGGACCCCAGGGCCCGAGGCTGGCAGGCTCCCGGGGACGTGCAGCCCGGGATGCAGGCTCTGGGGCTGCGGTTGGCATCTGAGCCTTGGGAAGTACCAGTTGGCAGCCGGGGCGTAGGGGGCGGGGCTGTATGGGAGTGTACCTTAAGGGATGGGGCAGGAGCATCCTGCTGGCTCAGGGGAAGGGACTGCTGTCTGAAGGAGGCGCTGTCGTGGTTGGAGAGGTGGAGCAAGCGTGAGCCACAGGATCGAGAAAGAAGTTATAAAGCCAAGGGAGAAATAACAACAAGTAGGCGGAGCTAAGCGTGGAAAGGTAGAGGGGGGAAAAGGTTTTCATCACATTCCTGGAAAGGAGTCCCACAGGGAAAGAACTTGGGGAGCTAATGACCTGCCTGCCTCGTGACTAGGTCTTCTAGACATTCACAGAAGGGAGCCCTCCAAGGAGAGAGATCTGGCCCCTCTCCCCCCAGTCTTCAGGAAACCACTTCTAAGGGCGTCCCTCAGAGCCTTAGACCGTCATCGCCCCCATCTTCTGGCTTTTCTCCATCCTGGTCCTGGACAGGCTTGAGTTCTAGCCCCTGGGTCATCACCCTTTAGGAGCTTATTTTGAGCTGGGCGGTGCTGGCACATGTACTGGGGAGGCAGAGGCAGGTGGGTCTCTGTGAGTTAGAAGCCAGCCTTGGCTACAGAGCGAGTTCCAGGACAGCCAGGGCTACACAGAGAAACCCTGTCTTGAAAAAAAAAAAAACAAAACAAACAAACAGAAAAGCTTGCTTCTGTGCCCTGGTCCATGGATACCAGTCTTGTTCTCCTGGGGTCTCTGTGAGAACTTTGCCCTCGTTTCCACCCCTGTGGGAGAGAAAAGATATTAGTTCCTGACCGATGGAGTTAGTCAGGCTAATTACCTAGACTTGTGGATTCATCCTTCTCCCCTACAAGTTTTGGTAGCTTCCTTCTAGTAAAACAGAATTAAAGGAGTGTGGGTATGTAAATAATGTAAAAAGTGTATGTGTGAGCTGGTGGTGGCGGCGGCGGCGGCGGCGGCGGCGGTGGCTGTGGCTGCTGCGCACGCCTTTAATCCCAGCACTCGGGAGGCAGAGGCAGGCGGATCTCTGTGAGTTCGAGGCCAGCCTGGTCTACGGCGCGAGATCCAGGAAAGGCACCGAAACTACACCGAGAAACCCTGTCTGGAAAAACAAACAAACAAACAAACAAGTGTATGTGTATTTGTGTGTGTGGATGATGATGGAGTGTTGAACTCTGACCTAAAATCCCTGACCATAACAGCTTCAGTTCAGAGATATGGGGAGAATAGAGGTGGATTGAGGTGGTTGGGAGGGGTGGGCTGTGGGGTACAATCCTCTAGCCACCTGGCCTCTTTCTTCCTCATGGGGCTGCCTGGCCTGAATCCTTCTCTTTCTCCTGGTGTCCAATCCTTTTCCCAGGAGACAGGGACACCCTGAGAGTCTGAGCCCTGGAGAGACTATAATCAGCTTAAAGGAATGTCTGGATTAGGGGTAGGGAGGGGGCTAGGTGGTCCCTGTGGGTTCAGCTAGTCAGGTCAGCACCTCGGAGGTAGTGCCCTCGTTTTAGAGTGATTTTCAACACTGGGGGTGGAGGGGAGGGGCCCTGTCCTCCAGGAGCTCAGCTTCCATGTCATCCGCAGGACGGGCCTTTGTGATGTGGGATCCTTTCTGTGCCCCTCTCCCCAGCACATGGTGATGAGTTTCCGGGTGTCTGAGCTCCAGGTGCTCCTTGGCTTCGCTGGCCGGAACAAGAGTGGACGGAAGCACGAGCTCCTGGCCAAGGCCCTGCACCTCCTCAAGTCCAGCTGTGCCCCCAGCGTCCAGATGAAGATCAAAGAACTTTACCGCAGGCGCTTTCCCCGGAAGACCCTGGGCCCCTCTGATCTTTCCCTGCTCTCCTTGCCGCCTGGCACCTCTCCTGTCGGCTCCCCAGGCCCCCTAGCTCCCATTCCTCCCTCCCTTCTCACTCCTGGCACCTTGCTGGGCCCTAAGCGTGAGGTGGACATGCACCCTCCTCTGCCCCAGCCTGTGCACCCCGATGTCACCATGAAGCCACTGCCTTTCTATGAAGTCTACGGGGAGCTCATCCGGCCCACCACCCTCGGTATGGCTGACTGTGGTCCCTCGGAATCTCTTTCTGGACTCGCTGGACCTTTTTTTTTTTTCCTGTTAGATTGTAGTCTGGTAGGACCAGCTGTGTGGGATGGGAGCATGGCTTCCGAGGCATGGGCTTGGGAATGACTCTCTCCTTGTGTCCTCAGCATCCACCTCCAGCCAGAGGTTTGAGGAAGCGCACTTTACGTTTGCACTAACCCCTCAGCAGGTGCAGCAGATCCTCACATCCAGGTACCCCTCCCGCCTTGTCTGTGGGGACTGTCTTCTCTGTTCTGCTTTGTCTCTCATTCTTTTCCCCCCGTCTTCCGTCTGTGCCCTGGACGTCTTGCGCTCTGTCCATCCCCGCCCGCCCTCTGAACTGACATTTCTCTTTCTTGTTGCAGGGAGGTTCTGCCAGGAGCCAAGTGCGATTACACCATACAAGTGCAGCTAAGGTGAGTTGCTTCTTAACAGGGGTGGGTAACCAGGGGTAGAACATACCCTCTTCCTGCCCTGCCCAGTCCACTCTGGCCCTGGGACTCTTCGGGATGCTGGGGGCTACAGATACCTCTGACTGATTTGCTTTCTAGCGTTCCCTGCTTCAGTGCTGGACTCACCTCAGAAAAGTGCCACTTACCATTCATTCACCCTGTCCTTCCTCCCCAGGTTCTGTCTCTGTGAGACTAGCTGCCCCCAGGAGGACTATTTCCCCCCTAACCTCTTTGTCAAGGTTAATGGGAAACTCTGCCCCCTGCCGGTAGGTAGAGATTCCTTCCCTTTTGGCAACAAATCAATACTAAGTATAAAAACCTCTTATGAAAAGACAGGCTGAGCCCAGTGCCTGCCATGGAGTAGCTCAGTTGATTGGCAGAATCAGTATAATCTCGAGAGTATTAAAATAGGGCTGACTGGTAGGGCGGCCACGCTTCTGTGGCAGGTCGCACAAACTGTACTTGATAAATGTGTGTGTGTGGGGGGGGTCAAAGTTGGGTGAGTAGAAAAGTGGGGTGGTTCTGGGAAGAACTGAGGGTGGGAGTGAATAGGATCAAAACACATGGCATGAAATTCTCAAAAAATTAGTGAAAGAATGAGTCAAATAAAACAGGGCTGAATAATTTTCCTCAGAACCCGGAGGAGGGGCACTTGTTTAATACAAAGGTTTAGAAAAGACGTCTAAGAGGTTATGATGTCAGATGAAAGGAAGATGAGAAGTGTCTCTGTTGTTCCCCGGGACTCAGTGACGGGTTCCTGGGTTAAGAAATAAGCCCCCCCCTTCCCCCCGGAAGTGCACCTCTCACACGGCCTGTGTAGGGCTCTTACCGAGTGGATCCCTACTCCTTTGCTGGCCTCCCTCCAGAGAGTAACCTGAGACAGGATTGCTGTTGTTAGAGTGGAACCCCTTCCCAGTGCTCTGACTCCACTAACAAGTCCCTGCCTTCCTCAGGGTTACCTCCCCCCCACCAAGAACGGAGCTGAGCCCAAGAGGCCCAGCCGCCCAATCAACATCACATCCCTGGCCCGGCTCTCAGCCACCGTCCCCAACACCATCGTGGTTAATTGGTCATCTGAGTTCGGACGGGTGAGCATGGCCGGAGGCCTAAAGAGGCTACAGGGGAGTCGTCTATTTGGGGTTGGGGGTTCATCCTGCTCTTTATGGGCCTCTCTGCTTAGGGCCACATCTCTGGTCTTTGTGAGACGAAGTATATGGAGAAGGAGGAGGTCGGAAGCAGAAGCTAATTCTCCCTCCCCCTTCCCCAAGTAGAATTACTCCTTGTCTGTGTACCTGGTGAGGCAGTTGACTGCAGGGACCCTTCTCCAAAAACTCAGAGCGAAGGGGATCCGGAATCCGGACCATTCCCGGGCACTGAGTGAGTAGCGTTTCCTCCTTCTACCTTGGGCTCAGGGGTTCCTGCTGCTCTCCAGGCTTTATCACCAACTCTGTTACATGGTCTCCAGCCCACCCCCAACCCCTGTGCTTCTCCTCAGTCTCTGTGGTTGAGGATTAGAGCCTCAAGCAATGGCAATAACCTTGCATTCCCAATCGTACAACAGTTCTGTATCTCCAAGACCCTAATTCCACCCCTACTGAGTTCCGAGTTCTCTGTCCTGAAAAGCCCTGAATTCATTCAATCTAACCCTCACACGATGCTTCCCTTCCATCAAGGTCATCTCTAACGTAGCCCACATTTCACCCTGTGGTGTTTAAACATCTTCAGGGATGGAGAAATCTCTTTTCCATACCCAGCCTTCTTGATCCAGATCCACTCCTGTGACTTGCCGTGGGCCCCCAGAGACTCTGCTCAGCTGCCTCCAGGCTGCTTCCAGCCTAACTGACCCCATGGCTCTCACATCACTCTTGTTTCAGTCAAGGAGAAACTGACGGCTGATCCTGACAGTGAGGTGGCTACTACAAGTCTCCGGGTGTCACTCATGTGCCCGGTGGGTACGCGGGGCGAGAGGACGTGGGAGGAAGGTTGGGTTGAAGCCTGAAGATGGTTCCTAAGAGTACTAGAGCAAAGTTTTCTAGAATGAACTCTCTCTCATCAGCTAGGGAAGATGCGCCTGACCGTCCCATGCCGCGCCCTTACCTGTGCCCACCTGCAGAGCTTCGACGCTGCCCTTTATCTACAGATGAATGAGAAGAAGCCAACGTGGACGTGTCCAGTGTGTGATAAGAAGGCTCCCTATGAATCTCTCGTTATTGATGGGTAGGGCTTTGCTGCTTCCCTCTGTCCCAGGACAGTCACTTAGATGCCTTCCCACTTTAGGGCTTACTTCTCCTGGATCTCAGCTCTCTCTGCATCTCCTTTAGTCATCCACAGTGTGTGACATTAAGGACTTAGAATAGATGACATCGTGCTCAGCATTTTGCATGCACTATCTCACTGAGTCCTGATAATAGCCCCACAACATATGTGCCATGGTTACAGGTGAGGAGGGAGACAGAGCGGGAGGTCACATTCGTGAGTAGCAGAGCCATACATTGAATTGTTCCAATAGATTGCCAATGACAACTGCGGGAACTTCCCACAGCACGTGGCAGTCACATTCCTTTTCACTTTTACTATTCCAAATGGCATTTATTCGATTGGCACAATAAGGTGGTTTTTTTTGAGGTCCTGGATATACTTACATAACTAGTCTTCCACCACCCCCGACAAGTGAATACTTCTTTTGGTCCTAAGTAGTCTTAGTCTCCTTCCACAGCTTCCGTTAGGGCTCTCACGGCGTCTTTTGAGGAGGTTTAAGCCTGCACCCAAAATTTGTGAAGTTTGCTGGGTCTGGTGGCGCACACCTTTAATCCCAGCACTCACTCTGGAGGCAGAGGCAGGCAGATCTCTGAGTTCGAGGCCAGCCTGGTCTACAGAGTGAGGTCCACGACAGCCAGGGTTACACAGAGAAACCCTGTCTCAAAACCAAAACAAAACAAAAATTGTGAAGCTCTTTTACATACTTCCCCCCCAGTGCTGGGGATCAAACTTGGGACCCACATGCTAAGCAAGTGCTGTTATTGAGCTCCAGTCCCAGCCTGTGCTTTATTTCTGTGCCAGCAACAACCCAGAGAGGTCCAGGAAGGTGCGTAATAGAGGTGAGGAGACTGAGGCATAGGAAGCGTGTCTCAGCCAGCTCCCAGCCTCATGAATCCCCATGTCCTCTCCTAGTTTATTCATGGAAATTCTTAACTCCTGCTCGGATTGTGATGAGATCCAGTTCATGGAGGATGGATCCTGGTGTCCAATGAAACCTAAGAAGGAGGCATCTGAGGTTTGCCCCCCGCCAGGGTATGGGCTGGATGGTGAGTGACCCCCTGCTCCCCAATTGAGCTAAGTCATGGATGGTCCTTTTTCTGAGACACAGTCTTCTTAACCAACCACAGGCCTCCAGTATAGCTCAGTCCAAGAGGGGAATCCATCAGAGAACAAGAAGAAGGTTGAAGTGATTGATTTGACAATCGAAAGCTCATCAGATGAGGAAGATCTGCCCCCACCCAAGAAGCACTGCCCTGTCACCGCGGCCGCCATTCCAGCCCTTCCTGGAGGCAAAGGGTAGGTATGAGAAAAGGCTGCATCTGTAGCAGAAGGGACAGGATGGCAGACCTGCTTTCTGATTACAGGCAGGCTTTGGGACAGGGGAGGGTGGGCGGAACGGGACCTTGGGCAGCTGTGCTTGGCCTTTTCTCCAGCTCCTTCTCTCTACTCAGAGTCCTGACGTCTGGTCACCAGCCATCTTCGGTGCTGCGGAGCCCTGCCATGGGCACACTGGGCAGCGATTTCCTGTCCAGTCTCCCACTACATGAGTACCCACCTGCCTTCCCACTGGGGGCCGATATCCAAGGTATCACACTGATCCTAAGTGGGTGGATGGGGGTCCTGCCCCGTCATACCCTCTCTAGACCTGTTCCTTTGCAGAGCCCCAGGGACAGGGGGATTATTTTCTTGTGGTGAAGGAGTCAGAAAGGGGTTGATTTTGATTTTTCTTTTCCTACCAGGTTTAGATTTATTTTCTTTCCTTCAGACTGAGAGTCAGGTAAGTGGCCATTCCTAGCAAGATCTAAGATCTCGGAAGAGTCCTTTCTAGACCCTAATGGCACTGTCTTTCCCTGTCCAAATCCCTAGGGATTTCCAAATGCTTTTCTGTGAGAGGAGAATGTAGCAGCCTGTCTCCCTGTCCCCACGGGCACTTCATGTTCACACCTATGTCTTCCTAGCTCCTTTCATGTAGTTTGCTTTCTGTCCACCCGCCCCCACATGTACTTAGAGCCTTCCCCTGTGGATGTTCTACACATTTCAGACACCCACAAGGCCAAGAACTGGGTATCTGGCAGGCCTGTCTCAAGGCAGGGCATGGGGAAGGGTCTGGGGAAGAAGGGCAGAGATGGAGAGGTCCCCTGCGTTTCTTGTCAAGAATGCCTTGAGATCCACAGGGTTGGTACCCCACAGAGCAGTTTCAAGATGACTGTTGGGAGGTGGCGAGTCGAGATAAAGCCTGAAGCTGTGTGTCCTTCATCCCCAGCACTATGGTCCTTCTGTCATCACGTCGCTCGATGAACAGGACACCCTCGGCCACTTCTTCCAGTACCGGGGAACCCCCTCCCACTTCCTGGGCCCGCTGGCCCCCACACTGGGAAGCTCTCACCGCAGCTCCACTCCAGCACCCCCTCCTGGCCGTGTCAGCAGTATTGTGGCTCCTGGGAGTTCCTTGAGGGAAGGGCACGGAGGACCCCTGCCTTCAGGCCCCTCTTTGACTGGCTGTCGGTCAGATGTCATTTCCTTGGATTGAGTTACTTGGATCATGAAACTTTCATTGGCCCCCAGCACTGAGCAGATGTGCTGTGGGTTCCCAACCCCTGGGTACCCTGATCCCTCAGGGGACTTTGGCCAGAGGCCAGACCAGGCTTTCATGGATACCTGCTTTTGGCCTTATCTCTGCCTAACGAGGCTGGTACTCAAAGGGTTAACATTTAACCTGTTTTAAAGGGTGTTGGGGTCTGTCTTTGGAAGTGTTCTTCGATGGTGGCACATTCCTTGGGGTATGGTGACCTAGGCAGTGGGAGGCAGATGGAGGGTTAGGGGCTGAGGGAAGAGGGGTTCCTCAGCCTTTACCAGATCTACAGCCTCTTGGGGAAAAGGCATGTTCCTGGCCCTCCAAACGCCTTCCCTTCCCAAACCCAAACGTCTGTCCTTTTCATGTCCATTCCGTTCTCTTTGGCCACACAGTCAGGTGGCAGATCTGAGACATGAAACTTCAGAGATGGACAGAGAACTCTATTTTGGGTTGTGGATTTCTTTTTTGTACATAACTAAGAAAACCCCAAATTATCCAAAGATGACTTCCCCTGCCTTTTCCTTCCCAGTATGACTTGAGGAGGAAACAAGGTCTTAGTCCTGATTCCCAGGGGCTCGGGAGCAGGGCATGGCCTGCCTACTGCCTGGGTCTCTCTATTTATATATTTAAGTTCACAATGTTTCTTATGCTAAACAACCAAGGGCCTACGCTTCTAGTGACCTGTGGCCAGGCCTAGAACATTCTGCACCTTTTGTGGGACGTGGGGGCTCTGCGTTCTCCTTCCCACTCCTCAGGCCCCTTTAGGGCCAATGCCCTATGTTGTGATGTTACTTTTTATCCTCAGAGTTGTAGCAGAGTTCTCACCTACAATAAAGGTTGTGAACGTTCTGTGAGCGTCCTGGAGAGAAGGGATTTTGTACCTCACTTTCCAGACCCCTGGTTTAGGGGCAGAGGGTCCATGTTCCATCTTTTCACCTTTAGAAAACATTTAAAAATTTTTATTGCTGTGTATGTGTGTATATGTATGTGCATATGTGCCTTGGCTTTGCATGTGGACGTCAGAGGCCAGCTTTATGGGGTAGGACCTCTCCTGCCACCTTGAAGGAGATTCCAGGCATTGAACTCAGGTCTCAGGTTTTTGCAACAGAAGCCTTTACATCCACCATCTCACAGAATCCCATCCTTCATTTGCTGGTCCGGGCTCCATGTAAACTTCACTTTTTTTTTTTTTGAGACAGGGTTTCTCGGTGTAGCTTTGCGCCTTTCCTGGATCTCGCTCTGTAGACCAGGCTGGCCTCGAACTCACAGAGATTCGCCTGGCTCTGCCTCCCGAGTGCTGGGATTAAAGGCGTGCGCCACCACCGCCCGGCTAAACTTCACTTTTACCTGGAGGGAGTAGGGGCATTCCCAACAAGCATATGGTGTCCATAAGAACACTAGACCATCCCAACCCAATGCTGTGGTACCCTCATTCCTTACCTTCACCTGCCCAGATGTTGCAGCCAGAGCCTGAGAGCAAACTTGGTTCCCGTGCTGACCCGTTCTTTGTCCTCTGCTGTGGTTGGGGTTGTCCGAAGGAGTGTGGACACGGGCAGGAGCAGAGGTTGGGTTCCTCCGTCGTCCCTCAGTTCGGTTGCACTGGATTACGACAGTTTCTGTCTGGGTTGTGCCTTGTCGCTTACAATGAACTTTAGTATGTTGGGCCATTTAATCCTCCCAACTCTTACGTAAGGCAAGCGAGTGTTAACCTCACTCAGCAGAAAGGAAACACTCAAGGAGGTTAAGTGACTCTCCTGTGGGAGAGTAGGGCTCAAACCACGGTCTTCAGTGCTAGCTAGTTGGAGCACGGACCCTTAACATTTGGAGTCTGATCTCAGGTGGTCTTTTAGTTATCAGTAGGGCAACTCGCTCCCTAAATCTCTTCCATAACATGTAATTCTAAACTGCAGTCCCCCCATGTATGCATATGCATGTATGTTGTGTGCCGATTGCTAAAGTCAAACTTACGGGAGAGAGGGTGGTAGGTCCTGGAGGAGACGTCTGGGTGTCTCTGTGCCATCCTCTGTGGCGGCCACAGCCGATGCTACATCTGGTCCCAGCCACATAAGGGCACTCACCTCATTTGGATTTATTTGGATCCGGGCCTGGGGATAGACATGTTGATTCATCACTTAGGGGAAGAGGCCACAGGCGGAGGGGACAGACCAGGGGTGAGCACAGCCTGTAGCTTAGTTATCTCCCCTGCCCTCTTAGTCACAGAACCAGGTGGTATGCTCTGTCCTCTACTGCCAAGCCTACCTGGAGCTGCTGCTGTGACTCCTGGGAGATCACGAGTATGTAGAGAACGAGGTGATGGTATTTGGGGAAACCCCAGCTCAGCCTAGGAGGGTAGGCAGACTGAAACAGAACAAAGCCAAACCAACATGGCATATGGAGAAACTTCCTATTCTTGAGACTTTGTAAACAGAGCTTTAGGGAGACAAAATGCTGGCCCACAGCCCAAGGAGTGGGTGGTAGGTAACCTAACAGGTAAGAGGGACATAGGTGAGGGCTATGGTTTGGGGACTTCATTCCACCCACATTTCTTTTCCCCAGTGGCCAAGGCAGATAAGGATTGTTCAGTGGGCCTTAGGGGTCGTTGAGGGGCTCTGTCTCACCTCCCACAACCCCAGAAGGACACAAGAGAACTGGTCCTGGGGCAGCTGTAACCCACACTCTTCCTGCAGCTCTCGAAGCCCACACTCCAGTATCTGGGAGTCAAAGGGAGCAGCAGGTCAGAGTGTCCAAAGCTTAACCCCACCATGTCCATTGTCCCTCAGCCCACACCCAAGGTGACCCCACTCATGGGTCTCCCGGTTGGGTCGGCAGACTGGTACCTCCTCATCAAGTTCCATGTGGCCACCTACAAGAAGAGTAGACCCAAGAGTGAACGGTGATTGCCTTCACCAGGAACCCCATCCTCCACTGGGCAGGGGAAATTTGTAGCTGTGGATGCTGACCTTGGGCCACCACTGTACGGGACTACCCAATAGCAAAGTGGAGGGAAAGGGCATTGTCTTCCATAGTCTGTTCTTAGGCGCTCACCTGGAGGGACCCAGATGTTGGGGGAAATGGGGAGAGTGCATGTCCTTCGGGTCAACAAGACAGTCTGGTCACTGGACTGAAGAATCACAGCCACAGCCACATCCACACCTCTATTCGTGGGCAGCTCGGTCCTGGAGCCCCCAGGCTGCTGGTCCAGAGCCGCAAAAGGGCAGAAAGGGGGTCTCTGACAAGAGGGGGTTGGCCGGGCTAAGGCTTTGAAGCAGGGTGGGACTTTCAGAAACTAGGGGTGCCGCGGTGGGAGCTAGCCTGTCGCCACCCGCCCCCACCCTCTAGCTGCCCTCGCTTTTCCTGCTGGTTCCCTTGTCCCGACCTGGATTGGAAGCCTCTCCGAGGCGCCGGGGAACGAATGGCTGGAGAGGACAAGCCGTCCTCGCTCCAAGCTGCAGTGCGCGTGCCACGGCCCCGGTCCTTGCTCGGCGCCCAGGAGGCCACACACACTCTGCATGAAGTTCGCCGACTCCAGGCGCCCGGCCAGGCGCAGCAGCAACCGGGCAGCAGCCATCGCGCGGCTCCGGTCGCCGCTTGCCTGGCCTGGCGCCCCCTGGTGGCCCAGCGCCATGAGGCGTGCGACTTCCGGTCCGCCTGTGCAAGCCAGATTTTCCAGGCAGGCTGGGAAATTTAGACACAACTTTTGGGGGCAATCCCTGCGTGTAATGCTCATAAAACACAAAGAAACCCGCTACACATTCTCATTTCCTCTTGGGTTCTTTCTGACTTCTCTGTTTGGGACAACAATGCCCAGGCTGAATGATTTCTGGAGAGGCGTGTAATTCCCCGCCACCCCTAGGCTGAAGTTCACTTAAGGCCCCGTCCACCTCTCAGCAAGTAAGTGCCTTAAATTAATTACGGCTCCATATCAGACGCCTAACAATTTTTTAAAAATGTAAAACAGGGTCTCATATAACCCAAGCTAGCCTCAAACTTGTGTAGCCAAAACAGATGTTGGCCTTCTGACTACCAGGCCTCCATGTCCAGCCCAGTTGGTGCAGTTCTGAGGATTAAACCCAGGGCTTCTGTGCATATCATGCTTAATAAGTGATGGTGAGTAGCTTGAAGGCAGAGCCGATCTTTTATCATATATATATATACATATATATATACATATATATACATATATATGTATATATATATGTGTATATATATATATATAAAATCACGTTTATGTCAATTTGGGGGTAGGGTGGGCATGTACTTGCCATGGCAGGCTTGTGGAGGTCAGAGAAGTCAGTGAATCCAGGGGAAAACTTCAGGTGGTCACTGTCTGATTGGAGTCAAGGCCTACTCCATGAGATGGCCCACGCCTGACACTTCCTGGGATGGCCAAGAACCTGAGACTAGACAGGCCGTGGACCTAGGAGAAAGCCAGATACTACTGTCTGCTAAAGGAGGGCAGCAATAAAATGACTGCTAACGTCATTCTGCTGTACTCATAGGTTCGTGTCTTGCTCAGCCATCCTCAGAGAAGCTTCCTCCCAGCAGATGAGAACAGATACTGAGACCCACAACTGGACATTCTGCAGAGAGTGAGAGATCTTGGAACATTTGGTCCTAAAAGGGATGTCTTCATCAAACCCCCTCCTTATGGCTCAGAGAACTCTGTGGAGGAGGGGGGTGGGGAGGAAGATCGCAAGAATCAGGGAGTGGAAGACACCAAGGAAACAAGGCCTTCCAGGCACAACAGAAATGGTATGTATACACACACACACACACACACACACACACACACACACACACACGTACGAACGCACGGAGATCATGGCTTCAGGTATATGAGCTGTACAGGTCTAACCCAGATGGGGTCCCAGGACTGAGAGGGGAAGTGGACACATACCCCATCCTTAACCAAGAAGCCATTACAATTGATAACTGCTTGCATTGGACTCTCACTGGGTAGACAAACCACACCTAAGGGCAGGCCCAGCAGTCGATGGCCAACACAATCAAACTCAGTGGTGTCTCTGGAGGTTCTTTGCTCATGCTTTGTCTGCATTTTTTTCCCTTACAGATTTCTTGCTTATGCATTACAGTGTCTGATTCTGTTTTAATGGGTTTTCTGTGTGTGTGTGTGTGTGTGTGTGTGTGTGTGTGTGTGTGTGTGCGCACCTGTGTTGCTTTTGTTCTGAGTTTTTTGTTGTTTGTCTTGTCCTATTCTGGTTTGTTTTTATCTTATTTTCATTACCTTTAGATGCCTGTTTTCTTTTCTTTTTCTTTTTTTTTTTTTTTTTTTTTTGGTTTTTCGAGACAGGGTTTCTCTGTGTAGCTTTGCGCCTTTCCTGGAACTCACTTGGTAGCCCAGGCTGGCCTCGAACTCACAGAGATCCGCCTGGCTCTGCCTCCCGAGTGCTGGGATTAAAGGCGTGCGCCACCCACCGCCCGGCTAGATGCCTGTTTTCTAATGAGAGAGAAAGAGTGTGGATTTGGGTTGGTGGGGATGTAGGGAGGATCTGGGACTTTTTTTTTTTTGGAAGCAGGGTGTAGCTCTGGCTGTCCTGGAACTCACTCTACAGACCAGGCTAGCCTTGAACTCAGAGATCCACATCTCTCTCTCCAGAGTGGTGGGATAAAAGGCATGCACCACTACTGCTTGGCTAAAAACAATCTATTTTTGATTTAAAAAAAAAATCAGGTTGTCAAGGTTGTCAAGAAGAAACTTTACTTCCCCACTAGGGAGGGCCCCATTTATTTTGCTACATTGTGTTTAATGTAGAAACTGGCAATATATTGACATTCAAGTGTTGAAAGAATTATAACTTAAGAAGAAAGGAAAGGCCGGGCGTTGGTGGCGCACGCCTTTAATCCCAGCACTTGGGAGGCAGAGCCAGGCGGATCTCTGTGAGTTCAAGGCCAGCCTGGGCTACCAAGTGAGTTCCAGGAAAAGGCGCAAAGCTACACAGAGAAACCCTGTCTCGAAAAACCAAAAAAAAAAAAAAAAAAAAAAAAAAAAAAAAAAAAAAAAAGAAGAAAGGAAAGGCCTTGTAAGCAACACTTAACTGCATTAAGTGAATTGAAGCTGCTGGGTCAAACTGTATCCAAGATGCTGACACCATCGGGGGGACCACAGAGAGGAGGAAAGGAATACTTTCTTGTGTGTGTGTATCATGTCCCAGACATTATATTCAAGTGTCTACATATAGAATCTCAGATGTGCTTGAAGCTGAGATCCGGCAAATGTGTCTTTTGTTTACATATTCAATATAACTGCTTGGGCCACTTTCCCTGTCAGTCCTGGACACAGGTCTTCTTGCTGGGTGTGCACCCATGTTTTCATCCTAGTATTTGGGAAGCAGAAGCTGGATTGCTCAAAGTTTCAGGCTAGCTGGGTCTACACAGTGAGTTCCAGGCCTGCCTAGCTATATAGTAAGACCCTGTCTCAAAACCAAACCAAAACCAAAACCATCAACAAAAAAGCCCCAAACAAATACAAGTTTTTCCCTGTTCCCACAGCAGTCTTTGACCTTCTGCACACTGTGTGCATGTGTTCAACATTACAGCTCAGTGAGACAGGTGTAGACTTTTGCAAATGGAATTAACTATTAGGAGGAAATTCGAGGGACTGTGATGGTTTGAATATGTCCCACAGCTTCCCTTGGGCATCTCAACACTTGGTCCCCGACTGATGGCACTGTTTGGGAAGTTTAGGAAATGTGGCCTTGTTGGAGGATGTCACTGGGTGTCTTAGTGAGGGTTTCTATTGCTGTGAGGAGACACCATGACCACAGCAACTCTTATAAAGGAAACGTTTAATTGAGGTGGCAGCTTACAGTTCAGAGGTTTAGTCTATTATCACCATGGTGGGAAGCATGGTGGTGTGCAGGCAGATATGGCGATGGAAAAGGAGCTGCTATCTTGATCCTGCAGACAACAGGAAGTAGTCTGAGACATTGGGCATGACTGGAGCATATATGAGACCTCAAAGCCCACCTCCACAGTGACATACTTCCTCCAACAAGGCCACACCACTGTAACAAAGCCACACCTAATAGTGCCACTCCCTTTGGGGCCCTTTTCTTTCCAACCACCCACTGGGGCAGGCTTCCTGCCCCAGCCACCATGCCTTCTTTCTGCTCTCTTGAACTCTGATCCTCTGGAACTATAAGCTCAGGTAAGAGCAGATCAGAAGCTGACAGTTGGATGCCTTCCTATCTCATTATTTTTATACTTGTGTGGATGTATATCTATGTGTGCCATTGTGCCCAAGTAGAGGTTAAAGGACAGTCTGTGGGAGTTTGTTCTCTTCCAGAATGGGTTCTGGACTAGGCCATCAGCCTTGGTGGCAAGCTCCCTTACCCACTGGGCCATCATCTTGCTGGCCCTCCACCTTGTTTGCTGAGACAGGGTCTCTCACTGAACCCGCTCACCAGTTTGTCTAGACTGGCTGGCCAGTGAACTTCAGAGATGTGCCCATCTCCAGGCATCACACCTAAATTTCACGTAGGTACTGGGCTTCTGAACTCAGGTCCTCATACTTGAGCAGCAAGGATTTCACCCAGTACGCCGTCTTGCTGGCCCCTCGATGATATCCTGATAAGAACTGATACATACAATTTATGATTAATCTTATTTATTTCAGGTTCTTCCCCCTGTGACGAGAGGAGAGTATGGGCATGAGTCTATTAACAAATTTTACAAAATATGCCAAACTCATGGTTATCATGAGCAGTAGGGAAGACAGGAGCAGAGGCTCAGAACAAGAATCTGAAACTTAGCTGGGTGGTGTAGCACACATCTTCAATCCCAGCACTTGGAGGGAGAGGCAGGTGGATCGCCATGAGTTCGAGGTCAGCCTGGGCTACAGAGTGAGTTCCAGGACAGCCAGGGCTACACAGAGAAACTGTCTTGAAGAACCTAAAAAGAATCTGCAACTTATCTCATTGCAAAGAATTCATCCAAGCACCTTCTTCTCCTCTTTTTTCTGTCTCCTAGATCTTTTGAGAAGGATGCTGGTTTCTGGCTGGGGATGGCGCTCAATGGTACAGCAGCTGACTGGCATGTGAAAGCCCTGAGTTTGATTCCAGCACTGCTTCTTCAGGGTCACAGTCTCTTCATGGTGCTCTCGATGTACGACTCCAGCAAGAAGATGGTTTCATCGACCTGGATCTCACTGGCATCCAACCTGAGTGAAAAAGTGAAAGCATTTGCCTGTGGTTAATGCTCATTAGCATACTCAAGATTAGAGGCTGGGCTGGGTGTGGCCATGCAGATTGGCTTGTTGTTTATCCGAGTGTGTGGAAAGAGAGAGAACCAGGAGAGCCTTCTTGCATTCACATTTCTCCCTTGTCAGGCACTGTGGAGCTGCTGGGCTCCACAGACAGCTTCTGTCCTGGGAGAACTTAAAGCTTCACTTGCAAACATGGGAAGAAGAGCACTTCTATGGAGGAGCAGAAGGCAAGAGTTGTGTTAATCAGGAAGAGTAAGGACTTTCTCCCATCTGGTAAAACCAACAAGGAAAACAAAGCCACAGTTAACTCCACACTTAATGGTGAAAAATTCAACTTTCCTCCCTTAGATCAGGAACAAAGCCAAGATGTCCTTTACAACCTTCTACTGGAGGTTCTATCAAGGCAATTAGGCCAGTAAAAAAAAAAAAAAAAAAGAAAGAAAAACAAAAAACCAAATCCAGATTGAAAAGAAATGAAACTATTCACAAATGACACAGACAGTCTCTAGGTACCCATAAAAAATCACTAGAAGTAATAAATTTACACAATCCCTGTTAAAGTAAAAGGAAATGAAGATGGAATATACTGCTATAAAACTATGAAAGGCCTCATGGCACAGCAATGAATTTGGATTTTATACTGTAAAAAATAAATCAATAACTCATCTCAGCCAGTGTGGTGGTATACACTTGTAATTCCAGCACTTTGGAGGTGGAGATGGTGGAAGTGACGGAATTAGGTCAAGGCCAGGATGACTATATGAGACCTTTAGTCAAAGTGTAAAACTCCTTCCAAATCAAAGGATGAACTACCTTACACACGAGCAAGGAAGCCAATAAATCATTTCAACTACAAGAGTGATGCTATCAATCACTTTAAAGACAATAAACAACCTGAGAGTTGGGGAGATGGGCCAGAGGGGAAATTGCCTGCCATCCAAGTGTGAGAACCTGAGGCTGGAGTCCCAGAACACACACACACACACACACACACACACAAACACACACACAGACACACACACACAGACACACACACACAAACACACACACAGACACATACACACAGACACACACACACACAAGCACTGTGACACGTGGTTTGCAGGATGAAGTTATTGCAAACCTCTCAGTAAGAGGAGATGAAGGACCAAGATGAAATGCCAGACTTGAGGCTGAAGTAAAATTCTCAGTACTTGGTGAATGACAGAGGATAAAAAAGAAGCAAGATGGCCTCAGAACTGCTGACCTACAAAAACAGACAGGCTCAATACTTTTTTTGGAGACAAGGTCTCTCTCTCTATAGTCCTGGCTGTCCTGGAATTCACTATGTAGACCAGGCTGGCCTAGAGCTCATAGAGATCCATGCCTCCCGAGTGCTGGAATTAAAGGCATGCTCTACCACACCTGGTAGGTTCAAGTTTTTTTTTTTTTTTTTGGTTTTTTGAGACAGGGTTTCTCTTTGTAGCTTTGCGCCTTTCCTGGAACTCACTTGGTAGCCCAGGCTGGCCTTGAACTCACAGAGATCCGCCTGGCTCTGCCTCCCGAGTGCTGGAATTAAAGGCGTGCTCTACCACACCTGGTAGGTTCAAGTCTTTTAATTAGGCTAGGAACGATGCTGCTGCACTTGGGTTTGCTCACTAAATTGGAGAGTAGGCTGTGAGGCCGATTGTTTGAAAGCTATCGCCAGTACAGTGTGAATTCCCACCACTCACTTGTTAACGTTGCGTTTCAGCGTCTCCAGCTGCTGCCGTTCAGGGGCTGTGATCATCTCCTCTATCTCCTGCAGCTGCACCTCCTCTGCACCCGTGGCCTGCATGGACGCGATGATGGCCTCTACCCTCTGAGACTTTTCTAGTAGCCGCCTAGCAGACAGACACAGCTTTAAGGTATGTTTCTTAATTCTGAGATCCTCTTGTCTTCTAGCCCAGAGGCCCAGTTCCTTCTTTTCCATGTTTCATTTAAAGACACTGTCCCTAACTTAATCACAAATATAACTTCGTTCCTGAAACATTTATTGCCCCTCCCCTCAGTTGCACTTAAACTCTGGGGTCAAGCACATGCCTCATAAATTTGCAAAATTATTTAATTGGGGGTATAGTCAACAAGTGTAAACTAAGGCATGGTTATGCCAACCCAAACCTAGGACTCAATGCAACTATACTGTGTACTGGGCTACTGTTACCATTTCAACAGCAAGTTTTCCCTCAGGCTTTGGACCTTGAAAAACGTACATGAGAAAGTGTTGGGGCCCATAGGTACCGGGAGAACGGACTCGGTGTATTCTCGAAATGTTTTAGTTATTGGTTCAGTGGAAAACACAGTACAAAAAACAAGCTCTGTCTGACAGAGAGAGAGAGAGAGAGAGAGAGAGAGAGAGAGAGAGAGAGAGAGATGCAAACGATTCACCGGAGAAGGCACTCACTTGTTCTCTTTCGTTTCAAACTGCCGCCTTTCTATCAAGTTGGCTATGCTCTGAGGAAAGAGAAGACAGACTGGAAACGTGAACGGTTCTGGTTAAGTGCGGTGGAGTGGGCAAGCCGGCAGGGGGAAGGGCACCGCTGTGTGAGAGCCCGGGGAGAAGCACACACCCCCACCCCCCACAGCACGGTTACCTTGTAGCACCTGTGCAGCAACATCCTGGCAGCCGACAGCACATTCACGGTGTACAGATAGAAGGTCCTGGACGGGGCGTGGTCTGGGGTTTTAGGAATTTCCTGTTTGTCCACAGAAATAAAGAGAAGTTGTTCTTTGGAAATGGCGAAGTGTACACCCATCCATCTGGCACTGTCAGCCCTCATGTTTACTGATACTTCTTTCTTTCCTAGCCAGTCAGTAGTGATTATGTTTATGACATAATCAGCCACATGAAGCAGGCTGCCCGGCTTTCCACTTTTTCTACAGCATTCTGAATGAAAGGGCAGGCAATTAATATTTACTGAGTAAACTCTACACATGCCAGGTGGATTGCATTCGATTTTCGTAATAGACCTTATTTATTAATAATTGAGACAGTGTGATACTGTGTAGCCTATGCTGGCCTCAAATTTTTAATCCTCCAGCCTTATTGAGTACTGGTATTATAGGTACACACTACCACAGTTGGTCTGAACCACACTGCTCTTATATCATTATCCACTGTGGGCACCCAAATTACTCAAGGTCAGAGAATCTGAGCTTGCTTTACCCAGCAGGGCTGCATAAAGAGATGATTTGACCACGGGCGTGGTTACCAGGTATTTGGAAGGGTCTACACTTGGCTGTATGGTGTGCTTTGATCTAGCAAGGAGGAGGTCTTTTGCCTCTCCCCTTGGCATATTATAAAAACCCCTTTTGAATAAAGCTCGGGGCTGTTGGGTATTGACTCAAGTCCTCCTATCCTGCATCTCTGTCTTTCTCATCATCTAGGTCTATCTTCCTACCTAATACTTCCTCATTCCTCTCTCCTCCACCCAAGAACCCTTCGAAAGGTGGGAGCTGGTCGGAGCTGGTCTCCCACAGACTCCCACAACCCACCACCATTTTACAGATATGAAAATGATGGTAGTTGACTTGCTTGGTGAATTGACTCCAGAATCCATCCAACTTGCTTCCTCAAAGGGTCCCCAACATAGTTTTACAAGGATCCAAGATATGCTGAATGAGTTACTCTATTAAGGATTTAAGGCTCTCAGGTCAGGAATTATGGGCTGGGGGCTGGCAAGGGCAGGAGAGTTATAGTTGTGAGCTGATTTCTTGGTGTGTTGTCTGTCTCTCTTACTAGGCCAGTTAAACTCTATGATCCTTCATGGTTTGCTGCCTGTGTTAATCTTTCTTTTCTGTTTCAGAAGTGGCTGCAGTATCTCTCTGTGGACCCAGAGTAACTTCCCCAGGATGTTCTCCTGTTGCGGCCAGCTTGCTGTTCAGCAGCTTCTAAAGCTGTGGCTACCTGGAGTGATATGAAGTTTTCTGAGAGCATCTTGTACAGCATATCCTTTGCCTCCTTTGCAGGAATCATTGCAAAGTCCTCCACCTGCTTCTGCTCCAGATGTTTCTTCTGCAATACCAGACGGAATATTCTGGCACAGCGAGACCCGAATCTGGGAAGGGACAAAGCAGCACGAGGTATACTTTAGCTCCTAGTCCCAGAGTGTGGACAAACTATCCCATATGTGGGGGCAGGAGCAGAGAGGAACAGCATTCACAGAGAGGAACAGTTCTTCCACAGCCCACAAGTTGGTGACGGCACTGTTAATCATAACTTGTCACCAAATGGCAACTCCTTTGAGTGCCACAGTTCTTGTATTACAGAGCTTATGGTGGCTGGTTCATTTGCCTAGTTAGGATTTAGCTCTATAGGGAAGAATAGTACTCCTGGAAAGGTGAGATCAAGTGTGGCAGGGTATGCCATAAAAACCAAATTACCTGTTCGGTGGGGTGTGGATAGAAGTGTCTGAACCAAACCCCAATCAGTGACCCCTCTTACCTCTCCTGGATGACAGACTCCAGAGTTGCAGTGGCTAGGGATGCTAATGCCTTATGGAGGTCTTGATGTAGAGGATTAAGGGCAGTCAGTAATGTTTTGGCCTCATCATTATGACCTTAGTTTCATGGCTAAATTCCTAATTTATAACTAAAAATTAAATAATATTTTGCTTTTCACATTTCGTGTATGATATATAAGCATATTAACATTTGTAAGGGTTTTGCTTAAGTAAACTTATTTTTTATTTTTATTTTATGTGCATTGGTGTTTTGCCTGTATGTGTGAGGGTGTCAGATCTTGGAGTTACAGTTGTCAGCTGCCATGTGGGTGCTGGGAACTGAACCTGGGTCCCCTGGAAGAGCAGTCAGTGCTCTTAACCACTGAGCCATCTCTCCAGCCCCTCTTTTTTTCTTTTTTTGAGACAGGGTCTTGTTATGTAGCCCAGATGGACTTTGAACATTCGACTTTCTGCCTCAGCCTCCAAGCTGCTCTGATTGTAAGCACTTACCAGCATCTCACTCTTCCCAACTCCTCTCCTCCCCTAGCTCTCTGCCTCACCTCTACCACCTTGCCTCTTTCTCTGCTGCAGGGCCGGTGATCTGGCCCGGCGCCTTGCACAGTCTTGAGTGAGATGCTACGGAGCAATGACAGCCCCAGGCTCTCTTTATTTTCATTAATGTAACTCACTGAAAATTCACAGAAAAACTGATAGACAGTTATTTCAATTAGGCATTGACAAAATCCTTTACTGTGGTGGTATATGCCTCTAATCCCGGCACCTGGTGGTGGGAGCAGGAGGACTGTGGGTTCAGGGCTAACATCTAGGCTACACAGTGAGTTCAAGACCAGCCTGGGCTACGTGAGACTGTTTCAACAACAAAACAAGACAGTCTTTCCGAGGTTACCCTTGTGCTTCCTAACTCGGGGGTCCTGACAGAACAGACAACTAGGAAGGATACTGATGACAAACATCCCTCCTCCGCTGTCGCCAGACTTTCCAATAAACTCTAGCTGTTAAAGAGAGAGTGAGCGGCGTTAACTGAATGGAAAGTCCAGTAATGTGTGTTCCATGGAGCAAATCTGGCCAAGAGTCTGAAGCAGGTAGCTCCTGCTGGATGACGGGGACTGTGTCTGGGATGACTAAGTAGACAGGAAGGCTATAGGAGAATACTGGGACTTAGTGGCAGAGATAAGTTATAAACAGACCAAGGTGGTGGGGAGAATTACCGGGTCATCTGCCAGCAGCGTGAGGTACTGATCGAGGACTTGCTTAGAGATGTTATAGCCAACAGGCAGGGACCTGAAGATCTGTGGAACAGAAGGGGATGTTGGAACTGGGGCCTGGGAATGCAGAACTGTTAACATGACTGAAACCAGATGTCCTAATTTCAAGTTTCAAAAACATAAAAATGCCTAAAAATATTCATATATCATTGTTTATAAGAGTAAAACAAAGGCCAAGAGGGACCCAGGCCTTTAATCCAGAACTCGGGAGGCAGAGGCAGGCGGTTCTCTGAGTCTGGGGCCTGGTCTACAGAGCGTGGTCTAAACAGCCGGTGCTACACAGTCAGACCTGACATAAACAGTAAGACAAGAAACCACCCAATGATAACAACAATCCAGTGATAAGTAATTCAACTACAACCAAATATGGTGGTGTGTGCCTAATACCAGCTATCCAGAGGCTGGGTCAGGAAGACTGGGTTGTTGTGTAGCATAGCCTCCAAGGTTAAACCTTCTACTCTGGAGGGAGGCTCCTGACTCTGGAAGCTAAAACTTAGTCTCAAGAAACTCATGAAACTTACAAGGGTCAAGAACTCAGAAAGTAGGGCCTTTAAACATAGCACCAGCGAGACAGAGGCCAGCCTGGTCTATAGAGCAAATACCAGGTCAGCAGAGGCTCTGTCCTAAACAAGTCAACCAACTTCAAAAACTTAGGAACAATATGAAGTAACAACATAAGTAAGTATAATTATAAAGGAATAGAAACGTAGTGTTTCAAGTGCCAAGGCTTTCATCAGAATCCATATATATATGCTGTAAGACAGCCTTCCCTGCTGCCATCCAGCCTAGCTTTGAGTTCCTGAGCTCAAGCAATCCTCAGCAGCCTTCTGACTAGGTAGGAGTCAGGCATGTGCCAGCACACCTGGCTGCTAGTCTTAAAACAATTAGAAATAATTGTTTTATTGACAGATATTTCACTATAATAATGGCTTAACAATTTTTTTGGAGATTTATTTATTTATTTATTTAATTTTTATTTATTTATTTTTTTTAGACAGGGTTTTTCTGTATAGCTCTGGTTGTCCTAGAACTTGCTTTGTAGACCAGGTTGGCCTTGAACTCAGAGATCTACCTGCCTCTGCCTCCTGAGTGCTGGGATTAAAGGCGTGTGCCACCACGCCTGGTTTTATATAAAAATTTATGTGTATATATGTTTTGCCTGCATGAATATAAGTATACCCTGTGTGTGCAGTGCCCAAGGAAGCCAGAAGAGGGAGTAAGATCCCTTTGAATTAGAGTTATAGACTGCTGTGAGCTGCCTTGTGTGTGCTGAGAATTCATCCTGGGTCCTCTGGAAGAGTAGTCAGTGCTCTTAACCACTGAGCTATCTCTCCAGCCCCCATGGCTTAACATTTTAGAAAGTTGGATCCTAAGTGGCCAAACATTTTGGTGCTTACCATTTCCAAGAAATCCTTGCCCCACTCCAAACAACAGACACTCCCTTTTCCCCAAGGCACAGGCATCCACATAACCCCGCAAGCTATGTCCAATAACTGTGATACCTACATCGATCAGAAAGCTAGCACAAAAACAGGAGGCTAACTCGGAGGGGTGGTTCAGACCACTAAGCTCAGCACTGGGGAGCAGAGGCAGGTGGATATCTGTGATTTCAAGGACAGCAGGGCAACATAGAAAGGCCAAAACAAAACCCCAATCACAGCAAAACAAAAACCAAAAAAGGGAAAACTGAAGCATACCTCATTGGAGGACAGTGGCTGGGTAAACGGGGCACTCGAGGGAGTGGTGATCTCACTCATCCGGAGCATTGTGCGCACAATCTCGCTGCTTGTCTGAAAAATAAACTAGAATTCAGAATTCACTGCCGCCGCCTCTGAGCCGGTGCCCACATCTGACAGCCAGCTGAATGATCGACCTTACTCTTTGCTGAACACTGGCTGGCCCACGTAGACATTACCTGGTCCATTCGGTTTGCAACTGCGCTCACAATTGCTTGGTCCCGGAAGTGCTGGTGGAACCTGTCAAGGTTGACTTGCCAATAAATCCCGTCATCTGGAATGGGCTGCGGTGAGAAAGATCAGAGAGGAACACTGGATACAGTGCAGTTTCTGAGGAGACCTGAAAGTCCCATTGGTTTTGATACACTGTGGCAATTAAATGGCTTAGAGAAGGAGAGTTCAAGAGTGGATCAGTGTGCCCTGACAAATTCTAACTTCAAGTTCTCTGAACTCACCTTCCTCCCTGTTAACCTCCTCCGTTCCCTCAAATCTCTCAGGGACCCCTCCCTGACTCTCTGCAGGTGACTTCCTCCTTGTTTCATTGGGGACATAGAAGCCAGGACTCACTCAACTTTGTGCAAACATCTTCCCATCTCCTTTCCTTCTTCCCGCTCCCAGAAAATGCTCGTCCTTTTCCCTAAGGGCGATGGCCACGATGCTCCTCCAGATGGAGTCCTCTCACTGGGTCTCGGGATCCAGATCACATTTGTTCCTGTCCTCTAATCGTGCAGTCTCCCGTATCGCTTCCTTCTCAGCAGCTTTTACCCTCTCAAGTCTCTAAGGAACCCCCTCCAACCCCCGGCTGGCTTCCTTCCTTCCTTCCCCTTGGGCTGGCCACAGCTGGCCATCCTCACTATCTCCCTCTGGCTTTGCCATCTCCGCCATCTCCACGTCTACATGAGATTTCAGTTACTGGCGTCCCAGTCCCACCACTGTCCTCAAGGACCTCCTTGTGGCTAAGCTCAGGACATACTTCCCAGTCTTGATCTTTGACTTTTTTGAAGTATGTGGCATAATTGGACATTTTCTCAACTTACCTCCTAAGTACAGGGGCTAGAGCTTTGTGATATCACGCTCAGCTAAATGTCTACTTTTTAATTTGAGACAGTCTCTCTACATAGCCCTGGCTGTCCTGAAACTTACTATGCAGACCAGGATAGCCTCAAACTCACAGAGATCTGCCCGCCTCGGTCTCCTGAGTGCTGGGATTAAAGGCGTGTGCCACCATGCCTGGCAAACTGTCTTACTTAAAAAAAAAAGGTTTATTTTGATTTTATGTGTGGTTGTCTACATGTATGTATCTGTACCAAGTGCATGCCTGGTGCCTGTGAAATCCAGAAGACAATGTTAGATCCCCTGGGACTGAGTTACAGATAGTTTTAAGCTGCTGTGTGGGTGCTGGGAACCAAACCTGGGTCCTCTGCAAGAGCAAGTGCCCCTAACTGCTGAACTCTCTCTCTAGTCCCTCAAGATTTCTTTCTTTAGTTCATGTTATGTATGTGTGTCTGCGGTGTGTGTGGGTGTGGGGGGGGGGGCGAGGTAGCAGAAGGTACTGATCTCTGGGAGCTGGAATTACAGATATGGTGCTAGAAATCAAGCTCTGATCCTCTGGAAGAGTAAGAGGTGCTCTTAACTGTTAAGACTTCTTTCTAGACCATAGACATCTACTTTTGTTTACTTTTTGAGGCAGGATGGCTGGTGAGTCCCAGGGACCCTCCTGTGATTTTGGGTTGGGCCATATTCATAGCCTGAAGATTAACATTTGTAGATCATGTTTGCAGATTTTAATAGTCCTTAGCTTGGCTTTCTTTTTTTAGACAGGGTCGCATGTAGCTCAGGTTAGCATCAAACTTACCACATAATTGAGGGTGACCATGAACTCTGAATCTTCCTGTCTCTACCTCCCAAGTGTTAGGATTACAGGCATTTACCACTACATCTAGCTAAAAAGTAATTCTGGCCACTACACCGTAAGGATGCAAGAAGGGAGACACTGAGAAGAGTACTGGAGCAGTGCTGACCAGAGACGATAGTCCTGGGGGCTGGAGAGATGGCTCAGTAGATAAAAGCATTTGTTGTACAACCATAAGGACCCGAGTTTGAATCCCAGCACCCACGTAACAAGCTAGACATGAACTCCTAGATGCCTGATGTCAGCACTGTAAAGGAAAAGGATTGTTGGGGCTTGAAGCCCAAGAAAAACGGACAAACAAAAAACCCCAATCCCACAATCTCCAGGTTCAGGGAGAGAACATGCTTCAAAGGAATAAGGCAGGGATTGCTAGAGGATCTGCTAGTTTCTGCCTTCCAGGTGCTGCAATTAAAGGCATGGGCTATCACACTGGTTACCGCCACTTCTGGCTTTATTTGGTACTGGAGAATCAAACCCAGGGCCTCATGCATGCCAGGCAAGCTATCAACCAACTGGGCCACACCCATGGCCCAAGTGTCTATCTCTAAGACAGGGTTTCTCTGTGTGTCCTTGACGGTTTGGGGGCTTGCACTGTAGACCAGGCTGGCCTTGAACTCACAGATATCCTCCTGTCTCTGCTAGCCAGTGTTGGGATTAAAGGTGTACTCCACCACTGTCCAGCTTTTTTTTTTTTTTTTTTTTTGAGACAAGGTCTCCCATGTAGCCTTGGCTGGCCTGGACTCACTACGTAGATCAGGCTGACCTTGGACCCAGAGAGATTCTCCTGCCTCTGCATCCTGAGTGTTGAGGCTAACGGGGTGCAACACCACATCCAGCCCTGCTTCCTCTTTTGCATAAGTTAGCACCATTATTCAGTGAGATAAGTTAGGCCTCAGAAGGAAATGGAACATTCCTTCCACAAAATCCCTCCCACTCTCAGGAGTTCTCCCTGTTCTTGGTAAAAAGGGGGCAGGGGGAAAGTGGGCAGAGGTAGTAATAGCATTCGTCTCTATGGGTCTATTCCTGACCAACATTTACTGACATTCATAATCCTACTCCTTCTTAGCCAGAACTTTTAGGTTCTGTTGGAACTCATTATCTGAGGGCTATCTCTGGGCTGTTCTGACTGCTAATCAGGAAGCCCCGTTACCTCTTTGTGATCTGTGTATTTTGGTTTCTTGGCCTTGGGCTCTCCAGCAGCATCCTCGTCAGATGATCTCCTCCTCTTACCTTTTCCTGCCGAATAAAACATTGAACAGTTAGACTATGTATCATATGGTGTCAGGAAATGAAGCAGGTGCTTCTTTATCCCGAGATATTTGTAGCTGCCTCAAGTTAGAGCTGTGTAGGAGGCTGAGGAGCTATAAAAACAAGTCAATGAGGGGATCATCTAAAACTCAGTATGTTTAAACAAATCCATAGTCTTGAAGTTGGGTAATGCCAGCACTGGGGAGGCAGAGGCAGGTGAATCTCTGAGTTCCAGACCAGCCTGGTCTACAGAGCGAGTTCCAGGATAGCCAGAGCTACATAGTGAGAACCTCTCTTGAAAAAAAAAACAAAAACCAAACAAAAGAAAATCTGGGACTAGAGAGCACTGGCTCAGTGGTTAAGAGTACTGGCTGTTCCTCCAGAGGACCTGGGTTCAACTCCCAGCACCCATATGGTAGCTCACAATTGTCTGTAACTTCTGTTCCAGGGGATCTGACACCCTCACACAGACATACATGTGCATAAAATAAAAATAAATTATTAAAAAAAATCTCACCGCCCCGCCCCCCCAGCCCAAAAAAAGAAAATTCATAGTCTTTGCCCTCAAACTGCTTCTCCTCCTACACTTCCTCTCAGTGAATGGCACCATCATGCTCCCATGGGTGCAAATCAGACACACAGATGTCATTCTTGATACTGGTCTTCTTACGGCTTCTATATCTGCTTCTCACTAGTCTGTCTCTATTTACCCTTGCCCTACCCTTTCAGCCTTTAGTAGACATTTACAGTGTAAGTCAGATCATGTCACGTCTCCCTTTGCACTTAGGTTAAAGAACAGACTCTGCAATGCCTTGTTAACCTTGTCCTTCCACTCTCTGGCCTCCTCTCAAGCTTCTCTGGACCTTGCTCGCCTAGCTTCTACACTGACCTTTCACTTTCTCTGATGTTCCATTTCTTTTTCTTACTACACACTAGTCTTCAAAATACCCATCTTCTATCACCTCACTGGGTAGGTCCTACTTCTTCATTAAGATCCAGATCAAATTCCCCTTTCTCAGAAAAACGTAAGCCTTCACCCACTGCATAAATCCATTCCTCCATACCTAGCTTCTCCGTAGTCCTTGTCACAGTGTGATGTGACACACATATCTGTGTGATGATGTCTTCTGGGAAGGGATCATGGTTTTCCATTATTACATACTACAATGACTGGCAGGCACACAAGCAAGTAACTGGTAAACAATCAGAAGTTCCTTCACATAACAATCAGTGAAGAAGAATCCACAATTAGGGCAAATCACAGTTTCAGGATGAAAATTCCTTACCTATCAAGCTCAGTTTAGGAACTAGGTACATGTCCTTTTCATTAATGACAAGGGTCGGGGCAGGTGGTGGTGGCCCAGGGTCAGAACTGTCAGTGGCAGGAACCAGGGGACAGCGCTGTACAAAGTGAGTATCTGCCAGCCGCACAAATGCATTTGAGACCTCGGCATAGTCCATGGTCTTGCCATCTGTACAACAGGAGGGAAGAGGCAGGTGAGGTGGCCTAAGAAAACAGAGAGCCAGACAATCTCTGCTTTGCTAAGAGCTGTAGATCCAGTACTGACCCTCCATGGTCTCTGTGAGTCGGTCTGCTACTTTCTTCACGACAGCTGACATTGTCATCTTGCCATTCAACAGAAGCTCCTCCACAATCAGCTCTCCACTGTCACTGTACAGCGTTTTGGTAGTATAGATGTACCGGGGATACCTAAGCATCCGCAAAACTCGGCTGCACTGGGCTTCATACTCCACCACACTGCGTTTATGCACATGATAGATCACCAGGTTATGGTGGATGAGGACACAAAGGGCCTTCTTCACCTAGACAGGACCGGAAAGAAAGAGAAGACCTGGAACTATTTATAGCTCATTACTGCTGAATACCGCCCACCCCTGACAGCTTAGTAACTGTCAGAAAACTAGCCAAGAGTCTTCTGAATCTTTTTAAAAAGCAACTAGGTCTGCTTTGAAACAATACAGGCCCATTTGAACAGGACCTGCCTCTTGTCTGCCCCAAGGACTCCTGTGTCTACAGTACAATGTCTGCAGCCAAACTTATCCCCAGGTCCCAGGACAGGGGACCCAGGGCCCATGAGCAGCAGAATCTGTTGTGGCAGCCATCTGGGCCAGTTCCTGCCATGACGGGACAAGGACTGAATTTGACTTGACTGCACATGGAATCTTACTTCCTCTTTGTGTTAGTGTAGTTAATGAGAATCACATGTCAATGGAAGAAATCAAGAGAATTCCTTGCTATGATGTTCATATTATCCTTGATCTCTATCTTCTAGTTTTCTCTTTTGGATCAGGATCTCATGGAGCCCAAGGTAGCCTTATACTCGTTATGTAGCTGAGGTTGACCTTGTATTTCTGAGCTTCCTCCTCTCAAGTGCTGGGATCATAAACATAAACCAACCACACCCAGTTTTATGAAGTAGTGGAGAGCAAACCAGGAGATCCTACATGCTATGTATTCACTCTACCAACTGAGCCACATCCTCAGCCAGGATCATGACGGAAATCTTTCACACAAGTGACCTGTTTTTTCTATCATTTTTATTCCTTAAAGGCAGTACTAGATTAGAAGGCTTCCTGTGAATAAACGAGTGTGGTATGGGAACGACAAAGATCACTTACACAACCAAGACAAGCTAGGAACACTCTGAGAAGCTGTATGCTGGGGCCTAAGTACAATACCCCACCCCTACCCCACCCCATAGTGATTCTGATCACAGGGCAGGCTTTCTTTATTTCTATTTTTTAGGGGAAGGAGTATCACTGCTGAAAAGTGGCTGAAGGAAGTAAAGAAGTTAAAGAGAGCAAACTGGTATCATCTAAACATACCTGGTCCAGTGATGTTCCTGTGTCATGGGCAATCACCCTAAGAGGCTGGCTGCCGGTTCTGATTAGGTGGACGCCAATTTTTTCTACAATCTCACCAAAATGCTCTTGCAGCAATAAAGAGCACAGTTTAATTTCTGCTTGAGTCATTGTGCCCGAGAGCCTCAGAACTGGGAAAGAACAACAATATAATTCACATATTTTTTTCTTCTGGAGGGCAGCTTGACAATACACATCAAAATCTTAACATCTTGCATATATTTGCTTTAATACTTTAATTTGGGATCCTCTGTTCCAAGGAAATAATAATAATAAAAAACATGCCATTAGTTCTCTTCATAATACTGGCACAGACATACTAAAGCAGCCCAGCATCTATCAATATATCACTGTATAACCAAATATGAGCATACATTATGCAAATAATTAAAATGACTTTGCACAATATAACTAGCATAAAACTGTTTGTAATGTATTGTAACAGAAGTAATTGCAGAGGCTGGATATGATGGTGTACACTGTAATTCTAGCACTTAGGAGGCAGAAACAAAAGAATCAATAGCTGGGCGGTGGTGGCGCACGCCTTTAATCCCAGCACTCAGGAGGCAGAGGCAGGCGGATCTCTGTGAGCTCGAGGCCAGCCTGGTCTCCAAAGCGAGTTCCAGGAAAGGTGCAAAGCCACACAGAGAAACCCTGTTTTGAAAAACCAAAAAGAATCAATAGTTCCAGGCCAACCTGGGGTACAAAGTGTTGGTTCAAAGCCAGCCTGTGTTAGACAGAGAGACTCTGGTGGGTGATACACCCACTCATCAAAAAGACTGGAAAACTAGACATCAAATATATTTTTTAAATCCAGGTATGGTGGTGCATGCCTGTAGTTCTAGCATTTGAGAGGTGGAGGTAGGTCAGGGGCTCAAGGTTACATATTGAGTTCAAGGCCGGCCTGGCTACATGAGACCCTGTCTCAAAAAAAGTGCCATTTCCCCCTATATCCTATTTATTTTTTACGGGATTATATGTGGTTTCAATATTCTTTAAAGGCTGGATTTATCTGGGTGTGGGGACTCACATTTGTAATCCCGCCACCAAAGCAGGAGGACTGTCATAAATTCAAAGACCACCTGGGCTACATAATAAATACCAAGCAAACTTGGTCCAGAGTGTGAGACCTCTAAAAAAACGAGGGAGGGGAATGCAAATGACTTGCAATCTGTCATAGGTACAAACAACTAAGGTTCACGGCTCTGTGAGAGTACAAAGTATCATTCCCAAGCCATAAACCACAATTTAGAAGCAAGGAAGTACAGAAGAGCTTCTCAACAGGATGTTTCAATTAGGAAGAGGAGTTCTGTTCCCTTGAGAACCATATTAAATTTCTACACCTTGACAAATGGGAAACAAGCAGAAATGCATGTAGCTGATGTATAAATTACCTCCCTATCACAAGCTGTACCTGCCATTATTCATCTATTTCTCCAACGCTTTAGTACCTAAGTCTTTGTCCTTCTTGCCAAGTTGTCGCAGGGGAGACTATTTCATTTATCCACCCGTCTTTGGAGAAACATCCCTAGATCAGTTGCCATCCTTGAAAAGCATTTCCAAGGCGCCTTGGCTCCTTTCCCTTCATGCAAGTTCCTGTTCCGGACTTCGTTTCTCGGCCCTGACTCAGGGCCTCCACATTCCGGTGGCGTTTTTTTTTTCACTAACCTCAGGGTCAGTGCTAACTTAGAAGCTCCAAACGTTATCCTCCGGAGACCAGCAGCCTAAGCTCAGGGGCAGCCCACCACCCCGTCCGGAAAGTAGAGCGCCAGCCCGGCGGACGCGGAAAAGGGTCAGAACACGGACCGCTCTAGCCGGCAGTGTCGGTGGTTTCCGGGGGGGGGACGCTCTTTCTCTCCTCTCGGTGGCAGGCTGGAGGACCGGCCAGGGGCTGTCTGAGGTGCTGGCGGGCGGTCCCTCCTCTGCCTTTGGTGCCGGGAGGCGGGCCTCGGGTCGCGCGGCCGCTGGCGGGCGGGCCTCTCGGGGCCGGGCGGGCTCACGTGACCCTTGCGGGTCCAGGAGCGGCCGGCCGCACAGAGGAGGCGGCGACGGCGGCGGCGGCGGCGGCGGCGGCGGCGGCGGCGGCGGCGGCGGCGGCGGCGGCGACCGCAGCCCAGGAGGTAGCGGCCTGGGGAGGGACTGCCGGCCGCCCTTTCGGACATCCGCGGTGGAGGCGAAACATGGCGGAGGCCTCGGCGGCGGGGGCGGACGCGGGCTCCGCTGTCGCCGCGCACCGTTTCTTCTGCCACTTTTGTAAGGGCGAGGTCAGCCCCAAACTACCGGTAAGAGCCCCGTGTGTCCCGCCCTCGGGCGCCGCGTAGGTGCTTGGCCACGAAGGCTGGAAACGGGGTCTTAGGCTGCCTGCACACCCCTGATGCCCCTGACACCGGTGTCCTCGCTACCTGCTGCCCCGCTGTCTCCTGGCACTGGCAGCAAATGCTAGGCGTCAGGGCCCGGGTCGGTCACTCCTGCCCAGCCCGCATTTCCGCGGCGCGTCCAACCTGCCCCTCATTTCGCTTCCGCTCTTGAACACCACCCCCATCTTTTTTTTTTTTTTGTCCTTCCTCGGTGAATTCTCCGCCGAGTCTCCGCTCAGTCGGCTTGCAGGACTCTTCCTGGTCTCCTTTCCGCGATGACCTATCCCCCGCGTACTCTTTTCGTGGTTGCGGCTCACCTTCCTCTCTTTTTCTTCCCCACCACATCTCAACCGGATCCTCCCCCTTCCGCATCCTCAGTGAGACAAAATAGCGGATTGCCGGGGAGGACTCCCTCGTAGGTTGTGTTGAAGTACGGAAAGAGGAGGTTTGGAAGGTAACAGGGAAGAGGGAGATGTTGTTCTTCAGTGGTTCCTGGGTACTTGTGAAAGTGAAAATAGCTGTGTACTAATGACTTGCAGACCGTCTGCGCTCCCTGTTGCTATTGAAGGAAATGGCTTTAGGAAGAAAGCAAGACGTACTGTTTCAGCTTAGTTTATTTTAGATGTCACGCTGCCAGTGTCTTTAGCTCCACTTTCCAAGCCCACCCCTTCATTCTTTCTGTTCAGAAAGAAAAAAAAAATACAGGACACAATGTTGGGGACTGCTTTCCTCTGCTATAAAATTGGTTCTCACTCGTTTCTGCTAGGCTGTCAGCCAATAGAAAGCCAATAGAAAGAGAGGAAAACGCTTCTGCAGCATGCTAGCCAGTGCGAGCAACCCCCAAACCAGAAGCTCCTTTGGGTTGGATTGTAGTTACTGTGGAGAGACTGGCAAGGTGAATGTTAGTCATACATTTGACTAATTGTCTTTGTCCAATTATAGTTCTTTTTCTTGGGGGGGGGGTGTCGAGGTTCTGTCTTTAAACGGGTGGCTGTGTTATAGTTTATTTTATATTTATGGTATCTTGAATACACTCTTTCTGTTTGTTTGCTTTTTGCATCAGGGTCTTACCATGTAGTCCTGGAACTCTATTCAGACTAGGCTGACCTCGAACTCACAGGGATCCTCCTGCCTCTGCCTCCCGAGTGCTGGGATTAGTGGTGTGCACCACTGCACCTGGCTTTGAATGCACTCTTAGGAGTAGGCCTACTAAGTTTGTGTTTCTGTTTTATTTTTTAGAAGCACAAATGGAGTCCAGTGAATAAGGACTTCAGTTAAAAGTTGTGCTGGAGGCAGCTAAGACATTTCCTTTTCTGTTTGTTCCACCTCCAGCTCATAATTAGCTTCATCTCATGCCGACTGGTTTCACTGACTGTCTTCACTGTATGCTGATGTGCTGTCTGCCATGTTTCAGTTTGGGAAAGAATGTGTATCTTATTTTTTTCCAGCAGATACTAGAACTCTCACTACAGAGAAGGAGTATGGAATCTAGCCACTGTGTGTAACACCGGTGACATGTTATTAAAAGTGATTGATGCCTTGTTAAAACATTACGGCTTTTGCCTTTGGCTGTGTAAGTGTGCATTCACCGATTTGCCCTTCAGAGTGAGAAGACATACTCTACATGTATTTTTCTATTGATTACCTGAAGTCTTTATTTCAAAGGGATGATTTGAAAGCTTTTTAGGTATTTTTCCTAAGCCTTAGATAGATGCATGGATGATCTTTGTTGGTCTTTTTACTCTGATTTATTGCTTGTCAGGCCTCACTTGTAAATTGAAGCTTATCAGTGTTTAATGTAACCAAATGCTGTCTGTGTACAGACAGGACGGACGCCTGGAGGTGAGGTGAAAGCATGTGTGGTTCTGTGTACAGACAGACAGGATGGACGCCTGGAGGTGAGGTGGAAGCATGTGTGGTTCTGTGTACAGACAGACAGGACGGACGCCCTGGAGGTGAGGTGAAAGCCTGTGTGGTTCTGTGTACAGACAGGATGGACGCCTGGAGGTGAGGTGGAAGCATGTGTGGTTCTGTGTACAGACAGGATGGACGCCTGGAGGTGAGGTGGAAGCATGTGTGGTTCTGTGTACAGACAGGACGGACACTCTGGAGGTGAGGTGGAAGCATGTGTGGTTCTGTGTATAGACAGGATGGACGCCTGGAGGTGAGGTGGAAGCATGTGTGGTTCTGTGTACAGACAGACAGGATGGACTCCCTGGAGGTGAGGTGGAAGCATGTGTGGTTCTTGTTCTTAAGGTAGACAAGGCAAACAAGGAAAAATGAGCAGTCACCACGCATTGCTTAGGGATGGACAAGTTCTGAGAAGAGTTAAGTGGTTTTCATGCTTGTGCAACCTTTGCAGTCTACGTAGATAAACTAAAGTGCGTCGTGGTCTTGAGGATTGAAGCAGGCCTTTATACACACTAGGCAAGTAAGTGTCTGCCACTGAACTGTCTTAAGGTATTTACTTATTTATTTCCTCTTATGTAGATAGTGCTGGCTAGTTTTGAGCTCAAGAACTTCCTGCCTAAGCCTCCTGTTATTGGATTACAAGCAACAAACACCCTTTCACCCCCCACCCCAGCAACATGATTTCTCTTTTTGAGACAGGATTTCTCTGTGTAGCCCTGGCTGTCTTGGAACTCAGATGTAGACCAGGCTGGCCACAAACTCAGAAATCTGCCTGCCTCTACCTCCTGAGTGGGATTATAGGCGTGTACCACCACTGCCTGGCTAGCAACATGTTTCTTAATGGAACTATCCTGTAATGTCTCTATGAAGTCAGTGATTCACAGAAAGGTTATGTAGTGCATGGCAGCCAAGTGAGGACAGAGAATATGTGGTTTCGGTTTTAGAGTGGAAGATATGGTTTCATTGGTGTCGTTGGAGAACTATGACAGAGGAGGTGGAGTTGAATGTCTTTTGAAGGACAGGTATAATTTCAGCTTGAGAATAAGCAAGACTGGGAGGTAAGAAACAAAAGTATGGGTCGAGGAAGAAAGGAGACTACTGAGTAAATATTTGTTGTCTTTAGCTGACAGATTTGTTGTTATGGGGTACAATGTGATGTTCGATATGAATACATAGTGGAATGGCTAAGTCAAACTATTAATTGACTTTGACATACATTATCTCACACTTTTCAATTTTTATTATTTACGTGTGTGTGTGTGTGTGTGTGTGTGTGTGTGTGTGTGTGTGTGTGTATGCTCATAAATGGGTACCATGGTGCCAATGTGGAGGTCAGAGGACAACTTTCGTAAGTCATTTCTCTCCTTCTACCACATGGATCCTGTGGGGGTCAAACTCAGGTAGGTAGATTGGCAGCAAGTGCCTTTACCCGCTGAGCTGGCCCCACCTCACATACTTTGGATTCGTGGTTTGGACACTTACCAAGTCTGCTGTTTTAGCAATTTTTAAATTCCATGTTAATTGTAGTCACTATGTTAAACAGTAGTTAATCAGCGTTGTTATGTATTTTTAGGAAAAGCTACAGTGAAGTCAAATTAGTTTTTTTTTTTTTTGTTGTTGTTGTTTTGTTTTTTTCTGAATAGGCTCTCTCTATTTAGTTCTGGCTGTCCTAGAATTTGCTCTGTAGAGTAGGCTGGTCTCCAACTCACAGAGAAATCTTGCCTCTGCCTCCCAAGTGCTGGGGTTAAAGGTATGTGTGCCACCATGCCTGGTTGTTGTTTTTCGAGAGAGAGAGAGTTTCACTGCATAATCCAGCCTGTCTTGGAGCTTAATATGTAGATCAGGCTGGCCTTAAACTCACAGAGATCCACTTGCCTCAGCCTTTGGAATGCTGGGATAGCAGGGTTCCTCTAGCATAGGTCTTTATTTCTTTTTTTTATTTACTTATTTTCTTGTGGTGTTTTTATTTTTATTTATTTATTTATTTATTTATTTATTTTTGAGACAGTGTCTCACTATGTAGCCCTTGCTGTCTTGGACCTCACTCTGTAAACCAGGCTGGCCTCAAATTCACAGAGATCTGGTTGCCTCTGCCTCCCTAAGGCTGAGATTAAAGGTGTATGCCACTATGCCCAACTTCAGAATTTAAAAATACAAGATTATGATTACATTGTCTGAAGAATTCAGGTTTATAGATGATAGAGTAGAATGGCATTATGTATTTTTTTGATCATCAGATGATAGAAGAAATACTTAAAGGAGATTTCTAGAAGCTTTTACTTCATCTGCCTATTATTGGAGCCAAAAACTCATGGGAGTAATTATGCTACATTGAAAGGATGACTGGGGCTGGAGAGATGCTCAGCAGTTGAGAGCTCTGGCTGCTCTTCCAGAGGACCTGGCTTTGGTTCCCAGCACTCACATGGCAGCTCACAGCTGTCTGTGGCTCCAGTTCCAAGGGATCCAACACCTTTATGCGAATGCACATGAAATAAATAAAAAGAAAGAAAGAAAGGATGACTGGACAGAATTCCACAGAGGGCTATTTCAAGGAACGTAAAGGTGTGCTCTCTCCCCATATACTACTGCCCTCCCCCATTCTCCTTTCAATAGAGGTCTTACAAGGTTGAATCTGGTAGTGATAATTATATAGTAGAGTAGCCTGCATTGGATATTGATG